AGGCCGGAGCTCCAAAACAAGTCTGAGTTTCCTATTTTCAACCATGTAGACCAACTGTTTGATGAAATGGCTCAATGAGGCCGATTTGGTTTCGATCGCCGGTTGGCGAGTAGATGGTCGGATAATGAGCTGGGTGGCTATGGGGGCTTCGTGGTGGTCCTTAGGGTTGAAAACAAAGCCGGAGCCGACCTGGGTCAATCGGCAAGTGGCCAAATCTTGGTTGGCTAGCGTGGAACAAACCTAACCCGGTTTAGGACCCGGGTCAACGCCTTCGGTCGGATCCGTTGACTATATCCGGCCCAGTTGATTATTATATTAATATTTTATTTTCATTTTTTAAAAAAAATAAAAAAATTATTTTTTTACCGTATTATTATTATTTTACTTTTTTAAAATAATAATAATAATAAATTTTTTATTTCTTTTAAAATTAGGAGATAATTAAAAAAATTAGTATTTTTCAATAATTTCTAAGTTATGTGAAATACTTGATTAGTAATTAGGTTTAAGTCGGATAGGCCTATAGGACTGTACAGTAGTATTTTGCATGTTATTTTTACTACTGTTGTATTATTATTATGCATGCTGTTTTTAATTAGAATATAATCGCATAAATTGTCATATTACGAATGCTGTTGCCTTAGTTAGAATTAGAACCTTAGGGTGCATATCCAATTTGACTGCTAATCTTTAATGATTATGCACCCGCTTGATCACCTCACATGTTAGGAGAAATGTCCCAAAATCAATTTAAATTGCCTGATAAATATTTTCTTAAATGAACAGGGTAAAAAGGTATCGAAAGGGCATTAGTTACCTAACTAATGTAACAAAGTCCCCAAACTCATTTAATCTCTAATTCATAGGAGTAGGGTGATTCTGTCGTCACTTTATTTGGGTGTCTAATTGACATATCCTAAATTGATTAGTGGCGACTTTTAAATACAAACCACTTGCAGGTTAAAAGCCTAAATCACAAGTTACGATATGGTATGGGCTTGGGAGAGCCCGAGTTAAGTTCCAGACCTAGACTTAACACTTACCAGGTGAGACCTTTGAAACGCAGAGGTCGGTCGTGACACAAAATAACTTTCTTGATTGCGTCGGTTGACATCGTATACTCTACCTTAATAGTCAACAAAGCAACATCCAATTGTAACCGCGCTTTCCAACTAATGACCCGTAAAACTGAACACACAACCTGTCAAGGACCTCAGTCTATCCAAGTGACTGGAAAATTTGAATCCACATAAATTGTTATATCCAAATATAATTTGATAAGTTGCATCTTCTCAATAGGTTAATTAGAACATCTATGATGCATCGCACCTATTAGAATAAGTTGTTCTAAAGATTGTACCTTTTGGAATAAAATTCTTCTCGTTTGGTCCCTTGCACTCTTTCACGCGACATAAACATCATTTCACTTCAATAGTCAACTGGGTCAACGATCGATATTTGATCAACCTATTTTCCTCCTCCTTTCTTTTTCTTTCTCCTTCAAAATAAAATCCGTAAACAAACACAGAGTAAGTTATATATAAGCACATGCACACGTAAACAAGCACAGACATACACCACACACAGAGTTGCCATGGCGAAGGAGGCGACAAGTGGTGGTGGCTCGAACCGAGGGCAGAGAGAGAGAGTTGCATGTGATATGGGTTGTATTGTAGGGGTTGTTTCATGAGAGAGAGAGAGCGAGCGCAAGGGGCAGTAACGGGAAGGGAAAAGGAAAGAAAGGAACGACGAAGGAAAAGGAAAAAATAGAAAAGGGACAACAAATTTGAACAGCCAATACCAAATGTAGTAAACAGTATTAACCTCTTTAGAAGATAAATAGATGCTGTGACTTTATCTCACAATTTTGAAGGAATGATCGATTAAATAACAATTCTTAACGTTTTTTCGAACATAAAAGAAGAATAACTTTCACTTTTGAGAATGTGCTCTCTCCAAATTGGGTGTGGACGATTGGTCTTCTTTCTTTTCTTTTGTGTGGTAGGGCAGACAATAGGTTGAACCTTTAATCTATAAATGGAAGATGGTCCAATGAGTGATCTCTGCCGACACATGGATGACTTGAACAGATTTGGATTTCTTTGCACTGTGCCAACGTCATCATAAGAAACACTTTTAACGAGGCTGGAGCCTAACACATTAAAGACATGATCATACGAACATTATATTGATATAATATGATATCTTTGCCTTTGGCCCTTATGTTGTCTTTTGTTGGCTATAATCAATAAAGACTTTATATTGCCGGTAATCAAGATTGAAGATGCTACTAACTAGTCAAGTATGCAAAGTGCTTTTCGTCTCCAAGAATTCTCCTTTCGTCCCGACAAAGAACAGAATAAAGACATGAGGATACAAACGTGATACATGTGATAGCAAATCTAGCACTTTGCTTTTATTCATCGATGACCAATACTTTGATTTTTGGTCTTCTGAGTAGTCATCACAATTTCGACTCATAGAAAACAAAGAGAGACATTTCCTTCTTTTCACAAATGGTGTTTGATCGTCGATATGTATACTTATATAGCTATTAACATATTATTAAGTTACCGACGAGTTTTTGAAAGTACCAATATTTATTTGTACTTTCAAGATTACCAATTATTTTCATAATTAATCAATATTAATATGTATAACTTACCAACATGATAAGGTGCTAACTTTTATTCAAAATTACCAACCTTAATTTAAGTGACTTGCCCATTTTTCTTCCATTAAGTCACCAACTAATTTTAGCTTAACAACTACTGTTTAAGTCACTTGTTCACTTTTATTTGATTGTTTCGAAATTACCAATTGTTGCATTAATTTACCAACATTAATTTGTGCAGTTTACCAACTGATAATGCTTCTAATTATTATATTAAATTACCAACTCTTATTTGAGTCCACTCATCAACGTTTATTTGATTCCACAAAGTTACCAACTGATCCAATAGTTCACAACATTTGTTTCATAACTTATCATTGGGTTAAAGGTTACCAATTCTTACACGAAATTACCAACTTAATTCAAAATTACTGGTTCTCTTAATAACTTACTAACATTTTATTATGGAACTTAAATTATAAACTCTTATATGAACTTATCAACTTTAGTTCAATAAATTATCAATGTTCTTTATTATTATTATTTTTCAAAAATTGCCAACTGTTCCAATAATTTAATGACATTTTTCTAGGATTTTCAAACTGTGTTAAAGTCACTCATACTTATACAAAATTAGCAACTCTTATTTGGGTTCACTCACCAAAGTTTATTTGATTTTTTCAACATTACGAACTATTCCAATAATTTACCAATATTTATTGACGGAGCTAACCAATGGGGGGGTTAAAGTTATCAACACTTTTACAAAGTTACCATCACTTTTAAACCTTACCCGACTTTTTCAAAAGCTTAAGAAATTTATTTGTGAAACTTGAGTTACCAACTCTTATTTGAGTTGTAATAATGTACATTTGATTATTTTCAAATTATTAATTGTTCCAACAATTTACCCGGATTCATTTGCAGAGCTGACAGACGTGTTAAGGTCATCAGCTCGTATACGAATTTATCAATTCTTATTTGAGTCGACTTACCAGTATTCTTTTGATTGTTTCAAGGTATCAACTATTCCTATATTTCAGTCGAATTTACCACCGCCCTCAGCGGCTGCGCTGGCTTCGGGCTCCCCTCTCCTCACGAAGGGTAGGAGTTCGAATCCCAACGCTGGCGTTAGGGATTCTTAAACGTGACGTCATGGTGGTGGGTCCTGCGCTAGCGTCACCCCGGGTTTACCTCCCCGGCTGTCGGCCGTGCGGGGGGTTCCCGGGTTACCAAAAAAAAAACTATTCCTATAATTGACTGACTTCTTTTTTTTAGGAGCTTATCAATTAGTTGTAGTTGGCAAACAAATTGGCGGTTCAAGTAAGTTATCAATATTTAAATGTGAAGCTCGAGTAACCAACTCTAGAACAAAGTTACGATCTTAATTGGGTCAGTTATCATCATTTACGTGGTTGTTTTAAAATTCCAACTAAAAGTTGGCTTTTGATAGTCATAGGATATGATATATTTAAGTTTAAATTACTAACTCCTCCCCAAAGTAAGCTAGTAGCTATGTAAACTAATTTTGCACTACGGTTTTGCAATACATAGTTATAATTCACGAGAGCATTCCTAAAACTTTTGGATTAAAAGCTTTGAGATTAAAAAGCAAGTGAACTATTGTTAGCAGCTATTTGATTTTTGACTATGGAAAGCTCACCTGCCAATTACATTAAAAAGGTGCAAGCGATGAAGAACCCACCAGTGACTTACCAATTTATAAATAAATTGTCAAATTTGTTGTGCATCCACGATTTAAAAGAGCTTTATTTTACGAGTTAATTCGATGCTAAACTCGAAACTCAAAATCTTCATTCAATAAACCGTTACGGTCAAGAGTAGAGAACTCGCCTTCCTATATTGAATCAAATCGAAGAACTGATGCAAGATCTTGAGCTCGAGGAGATAATATTGTTCTTAAGTTTACAAGTGGACTCGTTTTAAATAAAGGAGAAAGCAGGTCTGGTGCATTAACTCCTCAAATCTTCTATTAAATTCTGCAAATTATCTTCTTTAGTTTGGGATTTGCAATAACTAGGCGTGACTGCTTTTCTATTATCTGAGAAAGATTCGATGGGTTGATGGGAAGTGGCACTTTTACTTTTCTTTTTCTTTTTTTCTTTTTTTGGTTTGCTTTACCTTTATTTATTTTGCTTTCAGCTTTATTCGCTCATTATTTTACATGGAGAAATAAAAAAGGGAAATTGACAGGGTAGAGAGAAAAGCACCGTCTAAGATATATTGGGCCCCTATTGGGCCCCACTCACCCCAACGTGGCGTTGGGCCCACCTGTACACTTGTTGACTCATCTAACTAAATTTTCGTTGACCGTGGCACTATATATGATTTTGCCCGATCATCAACGAGCAAAGCCCCTCTGCTCCTACATTTCCCTCCTCAAACAATGGCCACGAGTCTGGCAAAAAAAGAAGAAAGAAAGGTTAGGGACACTCGGCTTGAACAAGCAATAGAACATGACGATGTTGATGAGCTACACAGGTTGATCGTGGAGGAGCGAAAACTCTTAGATCGTGCATCTAAGGACCCCTTCCCAAACACTCCACTACACATTGCGGCGGCCGCTGGGAAAACCGACGTGGCCATGGAGATGGCCATTATGAAACCATCGTTCGCTCGGAAGCTAAATCCGGAGGGTTACAACCCCATGCACTTGGCTTTGAAATTCCAGCATTATGACACCGCGAGGGCACTTAAGACCTTCGACCCCAAGTTGATCCGAGTCCGAGGACGATGCGGTTTCACCCCTTTGCATTATATCGCCGAGAAACAAGGAGAGAATGAGCCGGAGCTCTTGGCCGAATTCCTTTTTGCTTGCAAACCGTCTATCAAAGACTTGACGAGTCGAGGTGAGACTGCGGTTCACATTGCCCTCAAGAACCAAAACGTTGAAGCATTCAAGGTTTTGTTTGGATGGCTTCAACGAGTCAATCTGACACATATCTTGAAATGGAAAGACCACGATGGTAACAACGTCTTGCATATTGCTGTGTCTAATAAGCAACCTAAGGTAATAGTTCATGCCAGCATAGTACATTGATTCCGTGGTTGTTCGTGCTTTTATTGTTCGATCCTTGACTTCGACATAATCTAATCCAAGAAACAATGTAATGATAATGAAACACAAGGTGTTGAAAATACATCGTTTTTAAAAACATTCAGAGAGAGGAGATTATAACGGGATCAACTTGTTTGGTTTCTTTTTAATAGGCCTAACAATTTTTTGGTTGGAGGATAAAGAAGTGATGTAGAGATTACCTTGCCTACAGTTTAATTAGTGGAGAGTAAAGGTATGATTGAAATTGTTTCCTTCGAACCCCTATAAAATTCAGTTGTTAGTGAGCTCAATATCTCTAAGTTATACCTACTAACTTAATTCATCGTTGTCTATTCTTTGTTTTTACTATTGATTAGCAAAATTTCTCTCCTTCTTTCAAAATCAGTCCATCCGAAAATATTGTACTAAACAGAAACTAGTGCAATGAAAGCTAACATGGACAATCCCATACAACCATAAAACAATCACTTTGTGGACGGGAAAATTACTCCCTGACTAGTAGAATGTTATGCACATAGGCTATAAGTATACCTGTCTAAGGTAGTCTTCCTTTTCGACCAAAAAAAAATAAGTAATCTTCCCCTTCATAGCATACACACACAAATTAAAATTGAATTATAAACCTTTCAGTTGATGTGATTAAGTTTTAAACTTTTTTGAATAATTAGTCATTCAAGTCATCACTTATGGGGATTCACCTACATTATAACTCACATGGGCAATTCCTAGCTATCATGTAAATAATTTCATGTGAAATGACTAAATTACGCTTTTTGAAAAGATTCGGGACTCTATTACATTGGTTGAAATGATTTTGTTTGATAAATAAGGTCCAATGAACTTTTTTCATTTGTACATCAGTTGTTGCATCACTAGCATTATTCAAACATATGGCATGAGCTAACTTCGTGCAAAATGGTTAAGCTAGTGACAAAGCAGTGATTCAAATTGAAGGTATGCATACATCATTTTGTTTCCTTTACATTTCTTCCAGATCATCAAGCTTCTGATCAAACACGCGGATGTAAATGCGAAGAACTCTGAGGGTAAGACGGCTTTTGACATCTTTATAGAAAATCCTCGCCACAATCAAAATCTTGAGAAGAGGTTACGCCCTAAAAGATGTTCTAGCCATCCCCCCCTCTCTCTATCACGGTTTTTTAGCATGGAACTAACTGGCCTAGAGAAGTACGAATTTTTCTTTGGCTTTGGAGATGAAACAGCTCGCGACATAATCCTTGTCGTGTCTACCTTAATTGCGACCGCCACTTACCAAGCCGCTCTCAGTCCTCCAGGAGGATACTGGCAGGATTCCTCTTCAAATCCCTCGACCAATTCCACCGCCGCCAGTATTGAAAACTCGCATCAAGCCGGAGACATTATCATGAACGGCTGGAGTCTATATTTCTTCTCGGTCGTCAACAGCATGGCCTTTTTCACCTCCATCGGCGCAATCTGGGCCACCGCTATTCCACTATTGCCTCGCACTAACATGGTTTGCATCGCTATGGTCATTCTCGGCACTGCCTTCTCTTATAGTCTTGTATCCCAATTCCCAAAATCTGAGGCTGTCCCAGCAAATTTGCTAGGGGGATTTTATGTGTCGTTGGTGGTCGCCGGGTTGGTGGTCCCCTTGGTCGTGTGGAGAAACCACGCCAGAATTGTAAACAGAATCGATGCCACAGGGAGACGTGTCGACACTCTCCTAGAGTCGAAAGGTCGACAATGTGAGCGTTGATTACTTTAACTACCTCCTAGAGTCGAAAGGTCGAGAATGTGAGCGTTGATTTCTTTAACTATTTTCGTCGTGTTTGCATGTAATCTATGTGTCTAGTCTTGAGGTTTGCAAGAACTAGATTCTTTTCATTAGTTGAGTGTTGGAGTCATCGATTAAATCCTAAAGACCTTTAATCTTGCTTCAAGTCGGGACTTCAAATAGCTGTTTTCTGCTGCAATGAGATCGAAGAGCGCTTAGTCGAAGCTCGCAAACACAAACACCCAAAGCTTACACGCACATAACTTGTTGAGGGAAATTTCTTAGTTTTTTATACTTCTAGAAAGAGGCAAACCGCGACGATCCAATAAAACACAGCAAATAAGCACGGTTCCAACCTTTTTTTCTTGTCCAGATCTGAAATATTATTCAAATTTTATATGATTATCCATACAATTATGTGACAATATTTATAGATTGTGAAAATTTCACTTAGTTAAGATTAGAAAAATGTCAAAAGTAAAATCTCTCCAAACAAACTCTTATCCATGCTTTTAATTCCATTTGTCAAAATCTTCGGCTTGCACCATGCACCAAGCTGTAGCTGTTTCTGCAACTGTTTAATCAAAGCCAAAAGAATAACAAGATCGAGAAGTTACCGTTGTCAAGCAGTAAATATGACATTGCAACGAAAAAAATGACATGGCCTAAGTATAAAAGTTGCGAATTTTGCGGTTTTTGACGAGTCATATTTGAGTTAAACCTATATTTTTAAATTGACTTATATAACACAGATCAAGCTGAAGATTGTAAATAATTTTCGACATGTATTTGTGTCTTACAAGGTAATATTTTGCACGATATCCAACCCACTAGGCTTATGACACATTAATCGCAGAAGATAACAGCAAGGCCCATTGGGCATTATACTTAAAAGAGAAGTAAAACCGTATTTTGTGGGACCATCATTTATACACTTGACTTTGTACACGGTCGGATCCAATGTTTCATTTGCAAATTTGAAGTGAAATCAATGATCATTTATTTCTCTCTGAAAGTTCATTAAGGGCAAAAAAACAAGAATGGATGGATTCAACGTGTTGACAGTATCCCATGGAGCAAATATTTAGATACCATCCTTGGTGTTTTAGAAATCAGATATCCTCGTTGATTAGTTTATCTCTGGATTTACAAACTCGTATAAGATAAGTCTAACATATGCTTACAATTGAACTGTATGTGTTTAAATATATCTAAAATCATGTCAACACGAGCAATATGTTAACCTGTTCAATAAAACGGGTCTAAAAATGTCATAAATGAGTTGAAACGGTCACGAACGATATGTTTGTTGTTTGTGCATTTTGTTGGGTCGACCTGTTCATGTCCATGGACAAAACTGAGCTCCGACTGAGCACCCATAATCAACTACCTGACAGATAAACCACGTTTACCTCCAAAGTAATGTTGTTTGTTCAATTCAGTTTACTAACTTTTCTTTTATGCCATGAAGTCCCTTAACTATTTGTCCAATCAAATTTTTATTATCACTAACATTGTCAATCCGCCATTGTGTCAGTTTCCATTTGATATAAAATGGGCAATTTTATCGAGACACGAGAAGATGAAGATTATCAGAGAAAATAAAATGGGAAACAATAAAGGTGAACACGGGAGATTTACGTTGTTCAGTTTAAGCGTCGGAATTTACGCTTACGAGAAGAGCCAACAAATTATCTACCATAAAATCGAAGAATCACATAATTGCAGTAACTCACGTTCAAATGTCTCCCGATCCTGTAAATTTACATCCGAAATCCACAAACGTTTAATCTAACGTAAAAACACTCAAGATGGATGTAAATATTATGCACAAAAGACGAGGTGTTCTGATCATATATTCATCTTCTTCTTCGTGCTCTGACTTCGCATGTCAAAGAGATGACAAGGAGCTTTCTATTTATACACGAGAAGAGCCCCCCACCTAAATCAATGATGCGGCTGCGCGTAAGTCTCCACCTTGCTCCTTCGATGAATGTGCGCATGGGTGCTTCACCAACTCTTTCCTTTTGTTGGCTGCAGCTGGAAGGAAGGAAACAAAGGAAAGAAACAAAAGAAGTAAATGAAAGGAATACAAAACAAGCCCACGACTTTCACTTTTGCCAATTCTACGTGCGAAGGAGTTCCCGTGTGAACACAAAAGAGAGAAGCTCGTGGGTTCCCCCTTCATTTGATAACGCGGTTACTGCACGTGGAGGCGGGGAAAATTGTCCCAAAAATTCTAAATCCATTGTACCAAGACCAATTCAGTCCTAAGTTTTTCAACTGATCAATTTAGTCATAAACCTCAATTTAATCACAAACATTTTAATTGTGTCAATTTAGCCCTAAATTTTTTGATGATTTGCTAATTTAGTCATAAATCTTTTGATGATTTGTTTGACGATTTGTCAATGTAGATCTTTCGGCTAAATATCGAAATAATAGGTTTATGACTAAATTGGCAAATCTTTAAAAGGTTTAGGGAGGTTTAAGAGTAAATTGGCAAATTATCAAAATGTTTGGGACTAAATTAACACAATTGAAATATTTATGACTAAATTGACTGCCATATAATAGGTTTAGGATTTGCTGGACAATTATCCCCTTGAAGGGATGAAGTCTTCGTCGGCTATCTAAGCAATCAGAAAGAAAGTTCCCCTTCTATGGCCAAGAAATAAATGTAAATCACCCACGACACCCATCACAGCAAATCCCATGTGCATAAACATTTCATATAGTCAGCCATGTGGCCTACGTAAAATTTTTTAGATCGGGTATTGCTCAATGACTTAAACTGGAGACATAATTTAACACTATAATTAGGGAAAAAAAGAATAGAAAAGGAGAATGCTATTTGTTCGTAAGATGTTGAGGTCTAATGCAATTATTTCATAGGGGGAAGGAACTTGCCAAAAGCAGGAATTGGTCACAAATCTACCCTCGTGGACTTTCGTAGAACCATTCCTTAACTACATCATGAAGACCGAAGGGGCTGAAAAAACCAAGGAAAGGTTCATTTACGAATATGAAAACATTTAAAGACATTAATGGACACATAGAATATTGTACTGTGCATGATCGAGATTGCAAAAGAAAAGTAATAAACTCATACTGTTTATGATACGATAGGGAATGACAGGGATGGGGATATTAATGAACCACATGGAAGAAGAACAAGCTTCTGATGCAAAATTGAAATAACCCCATCAAAACTAGTGGATGTGGGTGTTAAGCCGCATGCTTAACCCACATGCTTCCTGCTGGCAGATGCTATAAGAGACTCTTATTTTTACGGAGTGTTAAGCCGTTCTTCTTTAGAAAATAATACCAATTCTTACAGATCAAGAATGGAGCAAACGTACGATGACTCTGGAGTTTCACCATCTTATCAGCCAGAGAAGCTTGAACCTGATAGTCACAAGCTCGAAAATTCTGGTAAATTATTCTTTCATTAGTGAACTTTTGATATTGGGTTTTCGAGATAAAGCAACTTGTTTTGATTGTATGATGTTTGTTAAAATATGTTGTTGGATTTTCTTTTTAAACTCTGCTGAATAAAGGTGTCTGATCTGTATATGAATATCACAGTGAGTTTTAACCGCAACACTGAATGTGGAAGTGCAATTCAACTGTTAACTTGGTTAATTCAATAACTTTTGCTGCGAGTCAGTCCTGGAAGTTTAAATTTTGGAGAAACCGCCCTGTTTAGAACTCAACTTACTATTTGCTTCTGCATCTGTTGAAACATGACCAAGCGTCTGAGTCAGTGTGCGTGTTAACATTATGAGGAAAACTCTATGTCTCAGAACCGGTTGTAACAAGCAGTTTCAAAGGTAATTGGGTTCGTTCGTTCTGTTTGATGAATGGCATTAGCATTATACCATAACCCATCTTTCATTGGAACTTTCATAAACTATTGTCGAGTTGCTTTCAACAATCATTCACTAGTGGATGATGAATTATATGCAGATGAAGTAAATGATTCACCAATCGAGGAAGTGAGATTGACCGTTTCAATTAAGGACGATCCAACCTTGCCCTGCTTGACATTTCGAAAATGGTTTCTGGGAATCACCGCATGCGCAGCTCTGTCATTTTTAAACCAGTTCTTCAGCTTCTGGCAAAACCCGCTCTCTTTGACGTTTGTTACCACTCAGATTGCGGTACTTCCTCCGGGAAAATTTATGGCGGCGGTTCTACCGGAGAAAGCCGTTCGCGTCCCAGGGACTAAATGGTCTTTCTCATTGAATCGAGGACCCTTCAACTTGAAGGAACATGTCCTCATAACCATATTCGCCAATGCGGGCTCAAGCGGCGTGTACGCCATCAACATCATCACCATTGTCATGGCCTTTTATCACCGTCATATTCATCCTCTAGAAGCCATGCTGCTGACACTAACTACACGGGTATACTCATTAGTAATTTGACAATCATTAGTGTTGATGTTTTCTTACCCTGTCTGCAAGCTACTGTGATTATTGACCTTCCATGCTGGAACAAAAATGTACGAAAAATTGCAGATGCTTGGATATGGATGGGCGGGGATATTCCGGAAATTCCTTGTTGATTCGCCATACATGTGGTGGCCAGTGAACCTGGTTCAGGTCTCTCTCTTCAGGTATACCTAGAAGACGGCTTTATTTTCTTCTTTCTCTACAGTTACTTCTTTCGTTGTCAAGAGTCGACTTTCGTTGGACTTTTAGGGCACTGCATGAGGAGGAGGTCAGGCCCAAAAGAGCATTGACGAGGCTGCAGTTCTTCCTTGTAGTCCTCGTATCGAGTTTCGCATACTATGTTGTTCCAAACTATCTGTTCCCTATCCTTTGTATGTTGGATATGGAAGGACTCAGTCACAGCGCAAATAATTGGCTCCGGACGTAGTGGTCTCGGTATTGGCTCCTTTGCCCTGGATTGGGCTACTGTTGCTGCCTTCAATGGATCTCCGTTAGCCTACCCAAGGTTTGCAATTATAAACATAATTGTCG